GAGAGAGAGAGAGAGAGAGAGAGAGAGAGAGAGAGAGAGAGAGAGAGAGAGAGAGAGAGAGAGAGAGAGGAGCGATCCAAGATTGGTTGTCACGTACCTGGGAGCTGCGCTGTGCATGAAGAAGACGAAGGCGGCCATAGCCGCGGAGCTCAGATGAGGGGAGGAGACTAAGAAGGGAAGAGAGATAGAAGTAGGAGAAAAAGGAGAGACGAAGGGAGGTGAAGGCAGGCATAGCCAAGGGTGTGGAAGGAGACGAAGGAGACGAGGAAGATAAGGGGTGAAGGCGAAGGTAAAGAAGAAGGTGAAGGCGGAGGTCGGCGGCCATAGTCGGGACCTCGGAGGGATGACCAGACGCGTTGACCGGGGTCGATCGGGCGTTGACCGACGTTGACCGGGGAGTTGACCACAGCGTTGACCAAGCCGTTGACCGCGATTTTGACCAAGCTGGAGTTGGTATAATTTCGCCAAGCCTTCAGCCTATCCCATCGCCCTATGGATATGCACACACTTTGTGGTACTTGCTGAGTCTATTGAGTCTGTTTGTCTCTTCTTTCTGCATTGATTCACTCCTGTCCTAGGTGATAGGACTCTGTGGATGAATGATAGGACCTTGCTGCCAAACCTACACGGGACTTAGTAGGACTAAAGTCTACTCTGATCGCTGGAGGCCTGGGCATGAGCGGCGAGCGCTCGTTAAACAACTCGTCTAGCCCAATGACCGGTACTGTCCGGCAGGTCAACCCAGTTTCAGTGTGGATGGTCTGAACTCCGAGTTGTGGGCTGAGACGGAGGCCGTCTTAAGTGTTGAGAGCTATGTTGTCCCAAACCCACACGGGCTGAGTAGGGCTTAATTCTATGTCTGACGACCGACACGTCCCGGAGGACAAACCCTCCCAAGGACCGGTACTGACCGGCGGGCTGAATGGTGTGGGACAAGGGGCCTCGAGATCCGAGCTGTGGGCTGTGCGGCCAGCTAAGGACTTGCTGATCACGTCGTCCTGTCCGCGACGTTAAAGAATTCTTGACGAGTTACGGGGGATCTCCTTAAATGCCTCCAGATCAACAGTGAGTCCTGTAGTGACAGCCTTAGAGTAGGTCTAGGCTAAAGACCATAGTTGACAGGGTAAGAACCGGAGTGAGAGCCAGGTGGGATTGACCGCAGGTGCTGGGCATCTGGGTCGTGGAAAGATCGAACTGTGTTTGCGAAAGCTTACGTCGGTTGTGGTAACCTGGCTTGAACGAAGGGGAAGACCTTGTGGTCCTTAGAGAGTCTGTCTGTTAGTTAGTCAGTTAGTGTCAGGGTAAGTCTAAGTGGTGAGGAGTGGGACTTCTGTCGTGCACCACACACCATGGACGACTAACCCATGTACGACTTGCTCGTGGGGTTCTCCCTGTGGGGAACCTTGTTACAACTCCTCTTCCCATTGGGTTTCTGGCGGACCCTAGCCTACAAAGTTGATACTGGGGGTGGCACTAGTACCACTCCCTATACGAAGGCACAAGAGGAGGAGGCTGAGCGCATACTGGCCGAACGAAGGGCCAGAAAAGAGAAGAAAGAGGTGGAGAAGCAGGCCAAGAAATTGACCCTCATGGAGGAGTAGGCCGCCAAAAAGAAGAAGTTGGAGGAAGAAATGGAGAGGTTGAAGAAGGAGGGAGAAGAAAAATTGAAAGCAGTGGAGGAAGAGGAAAAGGAAGTGCCCCTGGAGAGGAAGAAAAACACTGCAGAAACAGGGGAGACAAGGCATAAAGAAAGATATAGACGCAGAGATGGAGAGAAAGATTAGTGAGTGGATCGCTAATCTGTCGTTGGGAGAAGACGAGGAGGCAGAGTTTTACATACCTCAGGATGAGAGGGAAGCCTTAGCTACTGAGTTGGCTGGAATGGAGGACCCTTTGGAGAAACAAGAAAGGGAGGAGGAAGCAAAGTTGGAATGGAAGTTGAGGATGAAGAGGGAGAAGAAGAAGAGAAGGGATGAAGACAATAGGCTGACTGAGGAAGTGGCGAAACTGAGAGCCTGCAAACAAGAAGTGGAGGCGCAGGCATGATAAGGCTAAGTGGGACAAAGTGCTGGGGTACCTAGAGGTGCTGAGCGCTGCATGGATGGAGGAGCGCCAGGCCAGTAGGGCGCAGGAAGTAGCACTGAGGGCCATGCGGTCAGGGTTTAGGGACTTTGCACGCGACTTGGTCTCCCATCTGGGGGAGGAAGTCAAATCGTTAAAGGGCGATATGGGGAAGTACTGCCAGGGCGCCATAGAAGGTGCCAAAGCCATAGCTGCTGCAGAGGGAGAGGCTAGACCCCGCAAGGAACCTGTTAAGTTGAAGTTCCCAGACGCGTATGGGGGGAAGAAGGAAGAGATCTTTGACAATTGGGAAGCCAGTGTCAACAGCTACGTCTATCTGCAATATATCCTGGCAGAGGAGTAGGTCCTTGTAGCATTTCAGGCCCTCAAGGATGAGGCAGCTAGTTTCGCCAGGTCCCTAGCACGTGCAGCCGGTTGTGAGAACAACCTGGTTGCCTATTCTAAAGTCACCTCGCTCCCTCAATTCTGCAAGCTGCTCAGAGAGAGGTTTGCGGACCCAACGCGAGGCATCAAAGCCTCAGATAAGTTGCAAACGATCCACTCGCGACAGTGGAAGAGTGCTAAAGCGCTCAAGTGTGTCATGGACGACTTGGTAGCCGTCCCAGACCATGGGGCCACTGAGCCCCAATTGGTCCAGCTATTCTATCGTGCCATTCCTATCACCTTGAGAGTGCACTTCTTCGAAAAGTCTCAACAGGCCGATATGACTTACGATGCGTTGAGTAGAGGGGTCGTCTTGTTTGAGTGTCTACGCTAGTTTCCACTTTTTGGCACAAGGACTTAGAAAAGAGGAAGAAGTGGAAGGGTCGTACCATCTCTGGCCAAGTCAAGGCCAAGGATCATATGATTCTGACTTTAGAGGAAGGTGGTACAGACGAGGTCCCATATGATCAGATTGAGTGGGGCCTAGAGGAGGAAGACAGTGGTGTGGGCCAGGGGAGATCCTATGCTGCTGTCGCGGCTGGAGGGAAGTCGCAGGGTAGAGGAGGAGGCCGAGGATCTGGCGCTCAGGGGGTTGGTGGACAAGGGAACCGCCAAGCGGGAGGTAGGGGTCAAGGTCCCCCGCAAAATCGTCAGGGTCCCAATCGGTCCTCACAACAGCGAGGTGGTAGGGCACCTTAAGGAGGATGGCACCCAGGGTTGCCTCAGGCCAGACCCTGGGAAGATTCGGGCTTGGACCAACGCTTATGGCAGGAACGCGTGGACCAGGGTCAGTGCATATTCTGTGGTGACCCTGCTCACGTTATCAAATTTTGTCCTAAGTATCGACAGGCCCGTTGGACCACTCAGCAGTCAAAAGGCGGTCGCCAGTAGGGGTTGCAACTGCCCCTACTTTAGGACCATGTGGAGAAGAGAGCGTGCGCGAACAGGACACTCCCAACCCACATGGTTCCATGGCAGAGGTTGCAGGCCCGTGCCTAGCTGGCTGTCCAGAGGCCGCTTGTGTTAGCGTCTCTCTAGGCACGTCACTCACAGACGTGGCAGAAGAGTTGAGAGAGAGGATGCCCGCCTGGGCCAAAATGAAAAAGGAGAGTAAGGGACAACTGATTCTGTTAGATGTAGAGGTGTTCAGGAATAGAGTACGGACCCTCATAAGACTCAGGGACAACCCGTAGTTATATTAGTTGCAAGGCGCTGAAGAAGCTGAGACTAGGACTAAAAGTCCAACAATTAGCAGACCCCATAGTGAGTATACTCGCAGACCATAGTACTATGCGAGTTGAGGAGTACGTAGAGGGAATCCAAGCGTACGTCCGCCTAGAGAAAGATGGGAAAGTGGAGAAAGTTCTCCATTCCCTGACTCTCCTCGTACAGGATAACCTTCCTTTCGACATAGTCCTGGGTATGGACTAGGGAGAGGCAGCAGGGGCCACGCTACATTTAAGAGAGCATGAGTGTAGGCTCCCTAGTTCGTCAGGTGAGGTTAAGCCTGCCCGCCTGTTCCATGTGTCTGGTGTAGACAACACCTTGGCACATTGCTGCCTCAGTGTTCCCGCGTTCACGCGATTGGTAAAAAAGGAGCAATTAGAGAACCAGGTCTTTGTAGTGTATGTCAGACCCGTCACTGAGGGTAAGGAAGAGGTGACTTCCACTGATCCAACTATTGCCAAGCTGCTGGAGGAGTTCAACGATCTGACTGAGCCGCCTAGGGTAGTGCAGCGACCCATCCAACACAGAATAGAGATAGAGCCTGGCAGTAGAACTCCTAAGGGTGCAGTCTATAGAATGTCCCCTAGAGAGTTAGAGGAGCTGCGCAAGCAGTTAGACGAGCTCCTCGAGAAAGGTTGGATCAGGCCCAGTTTGTCTCCTTTTGGAGCACCTGTGTTATTTGTCCCCAAGAAGGAAGGAAAACTTAGAATGCGCATATAGGGGTCTGAATCCGATTATAGTAAAGAATGCTGAGTCGCTGCCCAGGATAGATGATCTCTTAGATCGGGTGCAGGGCTGTAAGTATTTCTCCAAGATAGATTTGAAGTCCGGTTATCATCAGATAGAGGTCCATCCTGATGATCAGCACAAGACTGCATTCCGGACTAGATATGGGCACTACCAGTTTATAGTGATGCCCTTTGGACTGACCAACGCGCCAGCTACGTTTCAGGGTTGTATGAACGACTTGTTTAGACCCTGGTTAGATAAGTTTGTTGTAGTCTATCTTCAACAAGACCCTCC